CCCCTGTAAATTCGGGTGGTTTGGAGCAATTCGGACTTTTCCCAGCAACGTGCGATTGCGTTGCGGACGTTGTTCGGGATCTACAGTTTTGGTGATTTGTGCCGTGGGGAGAGTTCTTTTTGAAATAAACAAACAGGCCTGATATAAACAAATAAACAAACCCTGGTTTCGAACTGTACACCTAGCCCGCGCCAAATTCACTAGGGCCATTTTCACCCCCCTGTGTAATTATTTCTGATTTACCCGATATTAAAGGGCTGTTACGAATGCTTTCGTTTTAAAGAGGGTACGTTTCAGACATCTCTGACGAGTTAGAGGGGATGAAAAACGGGTCACAATAAACTATGGTCGAGTCGCCGTGGTAAGAGTGCGTTTTTCTAAATATCTCGACACTTGGCTGAGTGGTTTGTAGCCTTAAAATTCTGGAAGTTTACTGGTAAAAGCCAAAATCGGGTTCAGGGTGCTTGCCGAAACAAGTTGCAGGGCGTGAAAATAGCGCGGGCTAGGTGCACTGTGATAAAACGGGCATAATAGTGACTACGCATATAAATTCCCAATGAGAGAGGCCTGCACCCTAGTGGATGGGCTCCTCCATGGCCTGCTTCATTGTGGTGCACAACGACATGGTGTAGGATTGTCTTGGTGGGGTGTGGCCACCGCCATTCGCGGTGCATCTTTGGTGCGATGCATCGAGTTCGCGATTCGCGATTCGCGGGGTGTGCATCACGTCGTCTCCCTTTCTGTTGTGTGTTGTGCTGAGTTTGACGTTCCAGGGAGCAGCAAACGGGCTGCACTGCACGTGGTTGAGATATTTTTTGCAGCACAGCAGCGAGCCACTCGGTTTCTTTCGAACGGCATCTCGCTTGTGAAGGGAAATCCACCCTGAAACTACAGTAATTTGTTGATGAAGCGCCTCAAACTTTCTTGGAAAACAAGCAGGCACCCTGAAAGGAGAGGTCTGGAATGCCATGGTGCACAAACATTCCTGATCACAGTGAAAGTGCGGATCGTACATTTTGCCGAAGAAAAAAGTGAGTGGGTAACCCACCAAGTTCGGAAAGAAAGTGTGGCGTGACGTTAGTGAAGATTCGTATCCTAACTACGGTCAAGGATACTGCTCCCAAAGCACTGTGGGAGCTGCATTTGCAGGTGGTTCTTGAATGCATGGGGGAGGGGGGAGGGAACGGAATGAAGAGAATAAAACCAGCTAGATTCATGTTCAGAGGAAGAGCCTCAAACCCGAGGAGGCAATACTCGTTAAAAAACCACCATACACCTCTCTGATTCATCTCAGATC